AAAAAAAAAAAAAAAGTTATAAATGTACCATTAACAAATTTCTTTCCACTTATCTCCTTACTTTTCACACCTAAAATATGTATGCAGTTGCATGTGATGCAAACTGAAAGTTATTAATGCAAAATAAAAACACTTGAGGTTATTCAGACAAAGTGTACATGCGCACTTCATTTTATGGCAGAACAAACATATTTCATGGTCAAACTAACCACAGATATTAACAGCGGACCAGAATTCTGCAGTCCTACATATTGTCAATTTTTTAGAAATCTGTCGTTTCCCTTCAGCAAAATTAGCAAGCTCCCTTTAAGAATTTCATGCTTAAATATCATATTACTTACTTGCTGTTAAACCTTAATGTAAGACTTTTAACTGAATTTTAGCGAGTAAGAACTTAGTTACATTATTTCAGCAGTACACCAACAGAAAACTGTGTTCAGTTCCAGACAATCACGCTCCTGATCAGAAAATACCAATTAAAGGGTCGATCTAGGGGAAATTCTGGAATCAATGGTTTTGGGCTCTGTTGAACTGGTGGCTCTAAACGATTCTGATCTTGCCTTTTTTATTGAACCAAAACTGAATTAGGTACGAGTAACTATACAACATAAACTGATAAATGGGGACAAAACTATAGAGGGAACTCCCAGAACAGTATTCTAAAATCGATCACCTTTTAGTTCTTTCTCGAACTAAAGGAAATTTTCCTTTACCCAAATACAAAGAATGGAACACATAGCACAAAAGTAGTGATGAAAGTACTGTATATTTTCACACTATGGAGTTATATTGGGAAAATGGAGAAAAAATAGAGTCAAGAGAAGCCTCATTCATTGATCTTATGCAGACTTTTAAACTCTCTACTGCAACTTATCCAGCTTTCCAAAAAAAATAAAAATTCCAGCTTTCATCAACTCCTCATTCACGGTATTGTAAGTATGTTCAATACAATGTCCATTAGGTCGTAAATTACAAAGATAAAAAGGTCCCAATCAAACTCAGGGACGAACTAAAAAGCCCAATATTCCAGAAATCCAAACCCAAAATAATTAAAAAAGTACATGCAGATGACCACAGCTGAAAGAAGTTACTAAGAGCTGACATGAATGAAGTACGGACGAGAAACCTGTCTATTGGATATCACCGGGGAATATGTGGAAACGATGTTGACTGTGAGGTCTGGATCCGTGGAAGGCCGTGGCTGCATAATGGCCAAAGGAGTTTTGGGTGGGCCCAGGTCGGGCACAATCAGCCTCCAAGTCGCCTTGAATAAATCGTCCCCCGCGTGCTCGGAGGACGAGAAGGCGCCGGGAAGTGAGATTAATCGGACGGCGGCGCGGCGGGACATAGCGCATACAGGGAAATGATAGCTCGTCTCGCTGGGGGAAGAAATTGAAGTGAGGCAAGAGGAGACTTGTTTAGACCCACTTTGGTTTTCAAATAAATAATGGGTGGATTGTATTGTTTACAAAATAATTCACTCACTTTTATTTCACGTTAAAATTTAACTCAACTTTAACTCAACCCATTATCTTTAATATTATTTATATAATTAAATAATACAAACCAATCATTCTTACACATCACATCAACTTTAATTCACTATTCATCCACTCACATAATTTTAACTACTTATCATTTCCAATCATTTATCTTACTTTTACATCAAATCAATTTTAATTATTTTATTTTAAATATTATTTTAATATATTCTTAAAATTCCACTACAACTAACCATACCACTTTTTTCAAAATTAACTATAGTTAACAAAAAAAATTCAATTTGAACAAATTATTTCATAAACAATCAAGCCCTTAGCCTAGCTTGCAAAAATCCACTCTCTTTAACACATTTTCTCTCTCTCCCACAAAGAAGAAAATTTTTGTCATTTCTTAGCCTAGCTTGCAAAAAATCCTCTCGTTTAACATATTTTCTCCCTCTCCCATAAAGAAAAAACCAGATCTGCAAAATCTAGCCTCCTCCCAGCCTTTTAGCGCAGCTCCACCATTGTGGGTATCTACTCCGGTGCGTTCGCAGCTCTAGCCCCTGTGCAGTTGTGCCCTTCTTGAGTTGTTGTGGCGGTTTTTGAGGAGACCCACTGGCAGAGAGGGCGGGACTGCAGGACTCGTGTGTCTCATCCCGACAGGCGGTGTTTTGGTCGGTGTCCACTCTTTCCTCTATTGTCTTCTCTGATTCTTGGTGCTAGGATGGCGAGAGCTCTCCGGCAGAGGCCTTAGCGTCTTTGGGTGTTTTTTGGGTCACCCGCTGGATTGTGGGGTGGATGGGCTTGGTGTGGGCTTCCGGGGTGTCTCCGAGGATGGCTCGGTCTGTTTTGAGGTAAATCTATGTTAGCCATCACCTTCTTCGTTGAAGGGAGTTTCTAGATCTGCGTTTTGGGCGAAGGCCAGGCTCGGGGGGTGTTGGTATCTATGAGGATCTTGTTATGTACAAATCACGAATTCAATAGCAAAACGTAAACCTATGCGCAGCGGATCTAAAGGTTTGCGTAGAGAACTTACGGCTTAAATTTTTTGGCGACCTGGTTGATCTTTCTTATGGTCGTACACAACACACGGACTGGATTAAATCACGAACGGAACATCGGGCTTGCAATCGGATCGTGTGGAACACCTATTGATCTGCTACTGTATATCTCTTACACTCTCTTCTCCTTGTACCGGTTGAACAACAATAAGAAGATAAAGCTCGAATGGGAACTGAGAGAGAGAGAGAGAGATATGGCGTGCGTGGGGCGTGTAGGGCAAGATTATGATCTTGTCTTTTTTTTTCTCATGAGCTTATTGATGTATATATAGAGCTACAGTAGGGATCCTTAGGAGATTAGGAGAATGGCTCCTGAATTAATTAAAATACTTCTAGGTCAGTCCACTTATTCTAATTAATTAAATAATATTAAATAGGTTACCAACATAATATTATTGCACTCCCTTTTCCTAGCTCAATTTACAATTGAAACTCCAATAATAATTACTCAATTTATCTCCCCATGTAATATATAACGTCCATTAATTAATTTGATTACTGACAATCAAGAATTAATTAGATTATTATTATTTCAACGAAGCTAGCGCTCGCTCATAGCATTCTTACTATGTCGGATTTTAATCCACCTGCAGGGTTTAGCATAATAATCCTTTATGAACTCACTCTAGGGACATCATCAAACTAATGCACATGGTGACCGTAAATATTCTAACAGCACATTCTACATGTAGTAATATTATCCAATACAGCAGGTCTATTGGCCCAGTTACTAAGTCTCACCCATGTGAATCAAAGTAATAAGTACTATACATATATGCCTGTTTAATATCTTATGGGTTAAGAGTACGCAGTAATTAACCGAGGCCTAGTTCGTTTACGACGATTAGTATAAAATGAACTGCTCCTCTCTGGGATCCTATTCAATACATAAATGTATCAGTGCAACTAACCAGCCAAGATAAACTGTACAGTTGACACTACAACCGTTCTGATGGGGTGTTCATGTCCATTTAGGTTGTGAACCATTATAGGCATTATTCTTGTTTCGCGAGTAACTGATAGTATGATATTCGGTTCGCCCGATGACAACCCACACTATCTAATGCAAAACAACAGAACGTAGAACTTCTTTACATGTTCATCATTCATAAAGGGTAAAAGTGTATCATCTAAAGCCAAGCTTTTAGTATATAACACTAACAGGGTGGTCGTTTTTCGCTTTTGTCTCGTGTGGTGAAGTTTCAGTGCTAATTGTGACTGTAGGAGAGAGCGTTAGTTTATATGTTTTTAGTTTTTTAGCTTTGGGTGTAGTTGTTGGTTTGTGTTGTGATTTTTCTGTGTTGTAGGTTGGGCTAGTTTTCTTCTCCACTTGTAGGTAGGGTTGCAAACGAGCCGAGCTGAGTCGAGCATTGGACTTATCGAGCTGGATTGAATTTTTTTAGCTGCTCGAGCTCGACTCAATAGAAAAATACAATAGCTCGAGCTCGGCTCGAGTTCCGTTAAAAAAATTTCAAATAACTTTGTAAAATCATCATTACGTACATATATTAATGTTATGATATAAGGGGCATTTTGATAATTTAGTATGTATCTCGAGTCGCTCGCGATCTGCTCGACAATGTAAAATATGGGTTCAAGCTCGACTCGAGTTCGGTCAAACTTGAGCTCGAGCCAAGCTTTGACTCGAGCGCTCAATTCGTTTGCAGCCTTACTTATAGGAGTGGCCTTCTCCACTTGTGGGAGTGTAGCTTTGGTTCTTTTTTTTTCGTGGGTGTGTTTGTGGTGTTTAGGCTCCCTTTCGGATATCCTCTCAGTTGTTTGGCCTTTGGTTGTTGCTTTCGGCTGTTAATGGTCGGACTCTTTGTTGTAATTAAGTGTTTATCTGTAAAATTCTATCGTGTAAATAAAAAAAGCCTTTGCAGTAAATTCACGCCTCTTTCCCCTTTTTCCGGTGAAATCTAATTGTCATCTCGATGTGCCCCCTCTATTCCTATCGGTCGGCCTCCACGCCCTCCTAGTTTATCGTGGCCGAGTCGCGACTGGAGGTTATCTTCTGCCATGCCTGGAGACTTGTGGGAACCTTATCAGAGGTGCGTCTCGCCACTCCGTCTATCTCCCTGGCTCTAGTTGGGTTTGTCGGTCCTCCTTGTATAGCTTCTAGTCCTAGGGTGGTCATCGTTCCGTGGGGTCCTTAGTTCCCGCGCCTTCAAGCTCTGCGCCCTTGGTGTTGCATCCGTTCAGCTGCTTGGCTCCAGTCGAGGTTGTCGGTCCCTCTTGTCTAACTTCTAGTCATGGGTAGTCGTCGTTCCGCTGAAGTCCTTAGTTCTAGCGCCTTCACGCTTTGCGCCATTGGTATTGCGCTTGCTCGGCTGCTTGCAGCCTTGGGGGACCCAGTCTTAGGTCATTTTTTTAGCCTATCAGCGTTGTCGTGGCGGCTCCCCTCCCTCCCTGGTGTTGATGTCTTTTAGAGCCCATAACTGAATCGAGATTTACCTCTTCACCAGATCTGTTTAGGCGGATCATTTTTAGCTGCTTTTTTGTGTTTGTGGTGTAGGTTTACATATTTGTTAGATTTTTGTGTTCCGGTGTGTGCCTCGGTTGTGGGTTGGGTGGTCGTTTGGTTAGTCTGTTATGTTTAGGGGATATCTTATTTTACTTGTAATTTAGGTGTGCGTTGCTTTTGTTTTTGTTTTTTGGTCTTTCTGTATTTTCCTTTTTGTTTAGTTCAACGACGTCTAGTGTTTAATCTTCTATATGTCTCATTTATGGAGTTATGTTTTGTAGTTGTTTGTGTCTCCTTGATGCAGATTGTACCCGTTTGGTCGTATGTATAGATCCAAGAGGGGTTGTCCACACTTTGTTCTAGTTCCAATGGTGTTCGTTGACACATCAATTTATACTCTTTTGATTTTTTCAGTTATTAATATAGTTGTGGTTTGAAATATTTAAAAAAAAAAAAAAAAACTATCCAATAACATGATTTTTTTACCTCTTTTCTACAAAATTCCACACAACTCTTCATCTCTCTTCCCTTATGTTTACTTACTTGGAACCTTCTATGATCAGACACCTCTTGTACGTATCTAACATTAGTTATCCTCTATTTCACCATTAGATTGACTCAAAAATAAATATCAATCATATATTCAATGTACGAGGCAAAAAGAATTTTGGTCGTCTCGTACATTGGCTCGTACGCCTCCTACACGCTAAAAACCTATTAGAGCCTTACTTTAATTTAAAATTTAAAATTAAATTTATTATTATAAAATGTTTTTTGATTTAGTTTCAAGCCCATAAATATATCTAACTTGTATATCAATCCTACAAATTTAAAACATACCATGACAACCTTAAGAAATGTTTTTTTTTACATATCATACAATATGGGAATTGTTCATCACGAATACCTCCTCGGTGCTTGGCTCTTCCTCTACGCCTTCTACCCATGCGACTAGTTGGTGGTGGTGGCAATCATCCTCGTATCGGTAATTTGAGATTGTCATGTCTGGGTAAGTGGTGCAGAATAATTATGTTTACTATTATTATTATGATTATTATTATTATTATTATTATTATTATTATTATTATTATTATTATTATTATTATTATTATTATTATTATTATTATCTAGTAGTTTTTTTGGTGATTAAGTTAGATTTAACTTTCTTGGTGATTAATTAAGGTTTAGCTTTCTTGGTGATTAAGTTAGGTTTTGGATTAGAGGCCTTATATAATGGACTCCCTCTAGTTTATTTTGCTCAGTTGATTATTGAATGAAAATATGAATTGATTGTGAGTTTTATTGAGAGAGTATCTCGTTTATTATTCCTACTCGTACG